CACACACAGCCTTTTCTTCTCTCTCAACAGATTCCTTAGAGCACCTCATCCAGTCTCCTGGATTTAAATACCACCCTTTGGCTGATGGTTCACACATTTTGATCTCCTGCCTGGCCATTCCTCTGGGGCTGGATGCTGTAACAGGCTGCAAGCTTAACATCTCCATCTTGAATCTAACAGGCATCTCACACTTGGCAGTGCCCAAAGTGAAATCACTTGAGTCTCCTCCCTGGACTCTCCCTTACCCCCGTCTCAGCAAACAGCACCACCTGTGTCTATGCAACTGCCCCCATCAGAAACCTGCTCGTTGGATTTCTCCTCCTCACCCTCCACCAGATCCATCAGCAAACCCTGCCCATTCTACCTTTCATATGTGTCTCACACCCACCTGCTCCCCTGCATTCAACTCCTGTTACCTCCCCAACGTGGCCTGCTCCAAGTACCTTTTACTGCACTCCCTAATTCCACACCTGCCCTCTCGACCAATACCATCCCCTTGAAACATAAGGTAGGGGATGTCACTTCCCATTACAAACCTTCAGTGACTTCCCACTGCCCTTCAATGAAACCCAAACCTTTCCAAGGCCTGGAATTCTGTAGGATCATCTCAAACGCCCTCTCTCCCAACCCCTTATCCACCTTGCCTCTTTTTAGTCCCACCCCCACCCCCGCATCAAGTTCTTCCACATAGACTTCCTTGCTCTGCCTGATACTCCCTGTTTTCCTCCACTCTCAATCCCCAGAGAGGCTTTTTGAGGCTACTTTAAGTAAGTCCAGGTCACTGCCCCCTGTGGTTTCATCTGAGCATTTATCGCATTTTGCAAGATATATTTCTTTACATGTCTGCCTCCCCTCTGGACTGTAGAATAAGTGGTAGAGTAGGGGATGCGTAGAGGAAGATGATAATGTCTTTTTTAATTATCAGTATGTACCCAGAGCAGTAACACAGTGCTTAGGAAACAGTAGGTGCTCAATAAGTAGCTGCCAAATGTACGCATGAATAAACCAGATCCGGTTACAGCATGAAAATAACTTAACCTCCAGCCATTTAAGCGCACAGGTTCTTTTCCCCCCGCCTCTCTACCAAAAAAAAAATTTTTTAAGTGTTACTAAACCAACAGCTCAGTATATCCCACTCATCCCCAGCTTGTCTTCCATGAGGAAAAAGCAAAAATCATGTTTCTTCAGTAAATTCAGCTTTACCAGAAGTCCCTACAAGCCTTGAGAACTTAAAACATTTTTAGACAAAATCCCAGAAGTTTTTTGTTGTGTATTTCTTTAACCCAGAGAAAAAGTTTATTAAGAGAGCCATGGAATCAAACTTACATAACCAGGACTACATTATTCTTTAATATGCCACAGCACCCTAGCTGAAAAACACGACAATATCTCCAGTTGCTCTAGTCTCCCCCTCCCCACAAAAGAAATCAACTAAGTTTTAGTCTCCCCTTTATTTCATTGGTTCCCCTCTGACATGCAAATTCAGGAATATTATTAATCTATGAGATTCCAGCTGATTCTCCTCCCTAAATCACAGTTTCATGAGGTCAGAAATAAAATGAGCTGAATTCAACCGTTTTTAGAGCAGGACAGTCAGCATCCATCTCTACTGCCTGAGGTCTGAAACACTTGTCTGCATCCTTATTTCTCATGTCAATCCTCAAAGTCAATAAAAACATCAAGAGCTTTTCCCCCAAAAGTGCCCGTGGTAAAATATACGTTATAGAAGAAGTGACAGTAATACAATATCATTATTATGAACCTTATCACAAATACATGTCCAAACCCAATTACCCACTTGTGAATTCTCCACAGAAAGTGGGTAAAGCCACTCTGGGTGTTCTGGTTCTCCCACTCCTCCCAGGACTAACTCCCCCTGCTGCCTGGGAATAACAGCTCAATTAACCTTAGATTTGACCAGGCATAATTAGGCAGGTGAACCAGTTGGCTGGAGGGGAAAACTTCCAAGATGAACTGAAATTATTTTTGGTGCCTGGGATTATATGCCCCACTCTTTATTAGCACATATAATTGGGACTCAACCATGCACTTTCCCCCACCACCACCACCGCCCCCAGCACTTTTTTCCCCCTAAGACGAAGTATTTCCTTGCATTTAACAGTCAAGACTACCAGGCCACTCAAGAGTCCTTTTTGGAATGCCAAGGTATAAATCCACTCTCTCCAGGAGAAGACAAAAAGAGAAGTTAATCAACTCGCCCAAGTCCATGAGGCAATCTGGCCGTTGGCCCAGGAAGAGACGGACTGTGGAGATCTCTTGAGACCTCTCCACAAGACCAAGTCACAGAATTTCAGAGACGGATGCAACTCACGGATCAAACCATGCATTTTTGAGATAAAAATTCTGAAGCCCAGAAATGGTTAGATGCTGATAACCTCCCCACTTTTCTTTCCAGTGACCCTGTCCTCCTGCCCTAAGAATCAAACCACCTTAAAAGTTCTTGTCATTTTACAAATACTGTAAACTGAGCCAATGGCTGAACACAAGACAATTTTACCATTTCCTGATTAATCAGCTTTATAGAGAATTCTCATACTTCCCGCAAAAAACCGATGCTCTTGATTCTTAGGACCAAGCCACCCATCAGAGCAGGAGAAAAAGAATTTTAAGTAAGTCTTGTTTCTGTGACCACATATTTTATTATATAAGCAGCAAAGAACACTACAGACTATCACCTCTTTTACAATGAAAGCTCCTACCTCAACAAAAACCACAGGCCCAAGTGGGTTAAAAGAGGCAAAACTGAGTACTTTCCACACAGTTCATAGAACAACTGTTTTCACAGTAAGCTCACATAAACACTATGTGATATTAACACATGCCTGCTATGTGGAAGCCTGCTTACCAAGCTGTGAAAAGACCCATGCTTACTATGGAACCCACAAAATTAATCTTCTCAGTGCTCATAAAGCAGAAGGGAAACGCTCTTTTTTGAGATGTCAAGCAGGCCTTTTAAACAATTCTTTGGCGAAAATGGACATGCCTAAAAGGGCGGAGTCCAAAGAGGTGTGTCACTGCCTGTATCAATTCCTATAAATCAAATCCTGACAATATTTTTAAAAGAATGAATTATGATTCATGGGCCTTCAAAGCTTTATTACCACAAGAACATTCTCAGCAGAAGAGGGAAAAAAAGCTCCTGTGACTTGATTAATGGCCAAAGCAAGACAATAAAATAAATCTCATAAATTAAAAAAAAAAAAACTGAATGACTGCTCTTGGCTTGAGGGTAGACATGTAAATAATTCCCTTTCCCTGGGATAAACACACATAAAGATTTTGTTTACCTTCCCAGCATATACATCAACCAGTCTCAGATTTTCAGCAGGGGAAAAATAATAGCTAATTTGTTTAACGAATGCCTAGTTAGGAACACTTGATAAGTGGCAATAATATTTAATTCCCAACTAACTCAACTCTCACACTGCAAAATATCAAATTCTCAATCTGGAAATCTGATGACAGGAAGGAAAGAAAAAAAAAACCTCTCCATCAATAACATGTACAGAGCTCATTTTTTAAATACATATTTTTTCCCCTGCTAGTACTGAGCTTGTCTATAGAACTGTAGAAACCTTAACCAACTTTAGTTAACCACATTGCCTACTGTTTACTCCCTGACTCTACTAAACATGTCTTGGTTTGAATCCCTGATGCTAAAATTATCCTGACCAAGTTAAAATTCCTTGCATATTTATGGTGGTGATCATTTCATAATGTATAAAAATACTGAATTGCTATGTTATACAACTAAAACTAATACAATGCTGTAAGTCAAGTATACTTCAGTTAAAGGAAAATAAGGAGATAAATAAAGCTTCCAGCATAATAAAGGTACCTGACAGCCAAAGACCTACAACTCATCTGCAGAAACCAGTAGGCTGAGGACCAGGAAAAGAGGCACAGAGAAGCAAAGAGGGCAGGTTAACTAGTTAAGCACTGACTACTCCTCCTTGTTATCCTTCCACTGAGCACCAAAACCACATTTTCCATCACCAGACTGCTTTCCTGAGACAGTAAGTGATGCAGGAGGTTGGTACCAGTTGGGACAATGTAAAACTCCTTTCTTAAAGCTCTGCTCCATGGCCTGCTAAAAAGTGCAAACAGCCGGCATTTTTTAAAGAACTCTTCAGCCATCCCTGGATCCGTCATTCGTAAGCATCACTTCCATGCACTTCACGAGACAGCCGGGGCCATGCTGTTAGCAACCCGCTTCAACACATTCACTTGCGAAAGCCGCGTCTAGCGTGGGGAAGAGTTTCCACAAAGCTGGCTCTAACGGCCCACTCGAAGGCACACGGAGGAACCAGAAGTCATTTTCTTTTAACCTAAGGATGGCAGGCGCAGATGCCCCATCCCAGTGCCGGCCAGAGGCTGCCCGCCAGGTGCTCTTGGCCTCTGCCAGTGAATGGGTGGTTTTGTGCTGTTTTTTAAACATCAATTTCTTTAGACCACCAGCAGTAACTTCCCAGCCTCCCCGAACTGAAGTTGGGGCGTGGAGGGGTAGGTTTACTCCCTTATACCTTTCTCCCATCTGGGTGGCCACTTTAACTTCTGGGGAGTACCCAGCCCCCGAAGAGCCCACAGGAGCGTATCATACACATATGCATCATGTCAAAAACCCCAAAAGGCACATCCCTAGAGTCCTGCGGTTTCTTGGCTGGAAGAATGAAGGCCTTATAACAGCACAACCTTCAATTGCAAGCTTCACCACCACCATCACCCTTTAAGCTGGGGCTGCCAATTACAGCGCCCACCTCACCCCTCCCCCTTTGCTGGGATGCTTTGCAGCGCAGAGAGGGGAGAGGGAAGAAGGGAAGCAGAGAGAAGGCCCTGCGAACATACTGAAAGTAAAAAAGTGGGGGGAGACGTCTCCTAATCCGTCCCCCCACTTTTTCCTTCCCCTCCCCTGTCTTCTCACGGAGCATCCCCCAACTAATTTTTTTTTAAAAATGGAACTTAATAAGCTTCTTGCCTACCTTGGCTGTTTCTGCAACAAGTGCATGGGCAATCCGACAAGAAGACCAGTCTTCGCCTGGGGGGTGAGATGAGGGGCGAGCAGAGCTGATGGAGTAATTTCAATATTAATTTATGTCAGAGCCGTCTTCTCGAAGCGCTACTCACTTACAGTACTGCCCTCAGCCTGTAAACAAATATCGCTCCGCCAGGAAACATACTCCCCAGATGCAAGCCCCTCTCCCCAACAGGGAACCTGGCCCTTCGCTCCCCCCACCCCACCCCCCGCCACCCAACAGCGTGCTTTCCCACCCCGGGTAGGAAGCGCTGGGTTTCCAAAGCACCAACCCAGCAGCTCCGCCACCACCCCAGCAAGAAACTTACTCGGTCCGTCTACGCCTCCACCCTCCCTTCAGGAAATCTACTCTCCATATGCATTCAGCCTCCCCGCAGGAAATCTGCTCCCCCCTCCCCCCTTCTGTATACATGCACCCCTCCCTCTCCTCCGCCCCACGCGCCCTCCCCGGCCAGAAACTTACTAGCGAGCAAGCGTGCAGGCTCTCCCGATCCTGGAAACTTACTCCCAGATATAGCACCCGCCAGCCCCCTTTCCCGGCCCTGCTCCCCTTCCTGCCCTCCGCTGCAAGCAACTCCAAACTCTCCGCATCCAGCCACTCTCCCTCCCCGGTGGAAATTTGCAGCGCGGGGCCGCGCGCGTGCATCCACCCTCCCCTTCAGGAAACTTACTCCCCATCTGCATGCACCGCCTCTCAGCCATCTCTTAGAGGGAAGGGGGTGTGCTAGGGAGACAGAAATACATATGTATCTCTCGCCCCTCCCCCGGCCGCAGCCCACTCGGGGCCGAGCCGCGGTAACCTGGCCTTACCTTTTGCATTGCTCCCCACCCTCGCCCCCTCCCTTAACCCTCCTTATCCGCTCCCCGGCGCCCCCCTTTTTTCACCCATTACCCACCCCTAGCAACCGTTCCCAAGCTCCTCTCGGCCTTTTTTTTTTTTTAATCCAGGATGCAAATTCCTCCCCTGTCAGCAAATCGACTGTCAAATTATTTTCTTGCAAAAGGAGAAAGGCGGGGTGGGGTGGTGGAGGGGGGGGAGCAGAAGCAAAAAGGAGGGGGGGCGGGGGAAGGGAGAGAGAGGGACAGAGGAGGGGAGAGATATCCCTCCGCAGAGCTGGGTCTGGCCGCGGGCGGGGAAGCAGGAAGTAAGGTGTCCAGCGCCGCGGCCGGCGGGTCCTCCGCCGCGGCCCCCGCCCGCGCCCCCTGTCCCCCGGGGCGCCGCGCTCTGGCGGGCGCGGGCCGCCCGGCGCATTGTTCGCAGCCTCCCCGGCGATGCGCTGTCGACCTTATTATGTGTGCTCTGCTTGTGCGTGAGGCTGCACCTTTTGTACGCTGGCGAGACTCTGGGCGAGGATGGGGCAGGGGGTGCGGACCAAGTTGCTGCCCCGCGCGGGACCTGTCAGCCCCGGGGCGTGGCAGAGTCTCCAGCGAGGCCGGAAAATCCAGGCCCCGGAGAAGACGGCGTGGCCGGGGAGCTGCCGCTCGAGACCCGGACCAGTGCAGGATTGTTTCCTGCGTAGCCATCCCGGTTATTGTAACGCGCTTTGCAATCTAACGACTGGGGTTTGGGTTTTCTGTTTATTTTTTAAGGCCTTGCAAAAATGCCAAGGTCTGGGTGGGCTGCGATGAGACGGTCTGCGCCTACCCACCACTGCACCCGGCCTCGATGGGGCTGGGAGAGAGGCTGAGGCTCCCGGGAAGGGGCTGGAGGTTCGCGAAGCGCGCGGCTCCCATCCCTCCGCCCCTATGGGGGCGGGGAACGGGTGCTGCAGTCGGCGCTGGAACGGCAGCCCTCTGGGGAGGGGTCTCCATCTCCGCGGCGCAGCAGGCCGGGGAGGGAGGTTGCCTAGGAGAGGGGCCGGAACCGGGCGGCGGAGGGGAGGGGGCGCGGGTGCCGCCGCGGCGCGCGCTCGCCCCTCCTCGTGCGCCATGACTGTGGAACGTGGTGCCGGGGAGGAGGGCCGGCCGCCGGGGGCCGCCCGGGGCTGCTCGGCATTGGTGCGGAAACCCGAGCCGGGAGCCGCTCCTCGCTCAGTCTCCTCCTCCTCCTCTGCGGGGGAAACCGCTGCACCCGAGCCGAGAGCAGCTGCGAGCAGGGGGCAGGGCGCGGGCTGAAAGGCGAGCCAAGGGTTCAAACCTCGGCGGCGCCAGGGGGGCGAGAGCCGGACAGCCCCCTGGTCCCTCGAAGGCGCAGCCGGCCTTTCGGTCCATCCCGGGACGCCAGCCTTTCCAGGAGGCTTCACGGGTTCAAGGAAACGTGAACCAAAGATGGTTGGGTGGTATAGACCACCTCGAGCCGGGTACGGGGCATCTCTCTCGTTGAAGTCCCACAAGACAGCGAGTGCTTTTTGCTCCGGAGAAAGTTAAACCATGCGTTTTTCACTATGGGAAAATCGTTGCGCCCATTCCCCCAAATCTTCGGGCAGTATAAATAAGGTGCTCCCGCTCCCCGGACCTTCGCCACTGTCCCCCACCCCCACTCGTGCGCCGGGTGTGGACAGGGCGGGGGAAGGCTATATGGGAGCTTAAAGCATGAGGTCATGGGCGGAGGAGGCTGCTGCCAAAAGCGGCCGAGGTTTTTCTGTATTTTGAGGGGTAACGGTTCTCCATCTTCAGCAGTGTTGAGTTCTCCCGCATAACCCTATCAATTCTGGGGCATCTGGACCAGAGAGCCCCCGAAAGAAGAGGGGGCTCTGCGCTCTTTTCGCTCTATGAGCCTTTGGCCGGTGCCCTACCCTCTTAGGGAGCCCTTCCACAGAAGCAAAGAAAGTCGAGGGACAGCGCACAGTGTCGTGGGGTTTGAGAAAGATTCTGATTCCTTGGTCGGAGGTCATCTTCCAACCCGACTGCTTTCTGCGATGGCCTCCTGCCCCCTCCGACCCATTCTTCCTAAGTGTCTAGAAGAGTCTTCCTACAACCCCGGACTACACTCCTTCAAACCCCTCCCAGCTGCTCTTAGAATAAAGCTCCGGAGCCCCCGCGCGATCTCGTGCCGACAGCCCCCCAGTCTCACGGCTCCTCCTCTCCTGTAAGCCGGGTAGTGCTCCTTTGTTCTGTGGCTGGGGGCGGGGGTAACCCTTCCCCCTCCACCTCCTCTTACTAACGCCTGCTAAGACCTTCAGGCTCGACTCAATGTCACTGCCTCCAAGAAGCCTACCTAAGGGTACAGTCTCCGCTGTAACTCCCTCAGAGAGCAAAGACCCACACCCGACCTCGCGGCAGCCGGGCTGTGGCCGAAGCTGGCCGCAGTGGCAGCCCTTTTCCAAGTGGAGGAGGAATAGCCAAGCTTGAGCGCCATCACTGCCTGGGGACCGGACCTCCTGGGTGGGAGTTGACGAGGACAAAACCTCAAAACACCCTGTTTCCTCAAAAGACCTAGGAAAGGCAGTACCGCCCAGAAACCTCAGCCCCACCGCCTCCCACCCCCAGCACACACCCACACTTGTAATGCAGGGAGGGGTCTTTTAATCTAAAACTCCTCCCTGGGGCAGATAAGGAAGCTGAGACTTGAAGAGAGAAAGTAACCTGCCTACGGTCAATGAAGAAATTGATACCCTGCTCTTTCTTGCGCCTAAGCTAAAAGGAAGGATTGGGGACCTAAAGTATTGCTGCTTTACAGCCTAGGATGCCCGTGTTGCCTTCCAAGGACCCCCTACATGCTAAGCCCACTGCCAACAGAGAGGTAGTAAGCCCAGTGGTTAGCCGGGCAGGCTCTGCCCTTATTAAGCAAGTTACTTAACCCCACTTTGTTCAGTTTTTTGCCTGTAAAATCAGAATAGTGGTACCTGCAGTGTAGTGTTTTGTGAAATTTTAATGAGTTTGTACATGTAAAGGCCTTAGAACAGAGTCTAGGCAAGTTCTTGGTTACTTGTGAGTGGGGTTTTTTACCCTCCCTTCCCAAGGACTCTAGAAACTAATCAGGGCCTCAGAGTCTTACCATCAAAAACTGCCTAGGGCCTAGTAAACTTTGACAGCACCCATAAATGCACAAACAATACACATTACAAAGGATTTTAGTTAGCCAACAGATTCAGCCCTCAACAACCCCAAATATGGGAGCACTGGTTCTGGACTCTCAGAATGAGTGTCAGAGGGAGGATGACTAAGGTTAAAATATTACCTTGGATCTTTGAAATCAGTGTCAGGTTGAAATAGTCCCATCCTGTTGGGAAACCTGCCTGAGATGACAGAAGCCCTCCTAGGACTGCAAAAAATGTAAGGGGACAGGGAGTGTAGCTCACTGGTAGAGCACATGCTTTGCATGTATGAGGCCCGGGGTTTGATCCCTGCCACCTCCAGGCATTGATTCTGTTTGGGGGCTTCACTGGTGACTCAAATGGTAAAGAATCCGCCTGCCAATGCAGGAAACACAGGAGATGGGGGTTCGATCCCTGGGTTGGGAAGATTCCCTGGAGACGGAAATGGCAACCCAATCCAGTATTCTTGCCTGGAGAATCCCATGGACAGAAGAGCCTGGTGGGCCCCAGTCCATGGGGTTGCAAAGAGTTGGTCACCACTGAGTCATTAACACTTTCACTTTCATTATTATTATTATTACTATTATTATTGTCATTAGATCTTAGTTTTCCCATTCTCAGCATTTACCCCATGTTAAGAGAGAGCTGTTTTTTTTCAATGCAATTCATTTTCTTAGAATTTGTTTGATGCAATTATAGTGGTTCCAAATTCAAATAAACATTGAGATGTCTCCCTCCTACCATCTCTACTCCCCACCAGTTTTCCCTCTGTGGAAGGTCAGAAGACATGTTCAACTGTTTTCCAGCTGAGGTCTCTGGAGAACTCTTCTGATGCCTATTTAAATTTTTATGTCCAGGGCTTTCTTCTCCAATTCAGGCAGAATCAACCCCCTACTCCCAACCTCTCTAACCCCTTCAGACTCAATCCTAAAGTGATGAACCACCTCTCCTGGGCTACTGACAAAAGCAGAAAACACCTTGTGATTCTTTCTCCTCCTCTACACTAAAAATAATAACTAAGGTTTACTGAGTACTTTCTATGTGCCTAGTACTATGCTAAATTCTCTATGTGCTTTCTCCTATTTTGTCAGCCCCAAAGCATCATCATTAACCTTATTTTACAGATGCAGACAGAAGTGGAGGATCAGAGAGATTATGTAACTTGCTCCAGTTTGCATCCAGGCCAAACTGAGCCCAAACACTCCCTTAACCACTAGACCTTTTGCCTCTCTGCAATGCAGGAAAAACCCTGGTAGCCTGAAGGGGAAGGAATAAAAAGGAATTTGGGGACTTAAATTGTGGTTAGTCACTCAGTCGTGTCGGACTTTTTGCGACCCCATGGACTGTAGCCCACCAGGCTCCTCTGTCCATGGAATTCTCCAGGCAAGAGTACTGGAGTGGGTTGCCATTTCCTTCTCCAGGGGATCTTCCCCACCCAGGGATCGAACCCAGGTCTCCTGCACTGCAGGCGGATTCTTTACCACCTGAGCCACCAGGGAAGCCTAAGGCAGATCTTAATTCAAATTCTGGATCATGCCCCAAGCAATGAGAACCTGGAAAGATTTCTTAACCTTTCTGAGCCCCAGTTCACCCACCTTTGAACTGGGACCATACAATTTTTCCTTGGTCAAATGAAGTGAAAGTCAAATGCCTGTGAATAATGACTTTT